CATCTGCCACGGCCTCTCCCCTGGCCCCGTCTTTGGCGAGTCTGTCTGCTTCCTGATTGCCCACCACATTGCTGTGGCCTGGCACCCAGCACAGAGTGGCCCCGCCTCGACGCAGCCAGGACAGTGCTTCTCGGCATTCCATCACGGTTTTCGATCTCACTGATTGCATGGTGATGCTTCTTACAGCGGCCAAGTATATCACTATCACCCCTATTGGTCTATCAGCAATTTTCTCTCGTATACAACTAGCCGCTTCCTTTATGGCGTAAACCTCTGCTTGTAGAACATTACAGCCATCCGATAGCCTCAAAGATCGTCGGATGTCTAGTTTCTCTGAGAAGATGCCTATACCTGTGCCCCCTGAATTTGCGGAAGCATGTGTAGACTGCTATCTCTTGAGTGTTCATTACTCGGTTGCTTTCCCATTCTTCTCTTGTCGGGATGCGAATCCTTATCTTTTCTCCAAAATCATGTTTGGTGAGCATATAGTCCGTTTTTTGGTCTAGCAGATGTGGACTCGTGTTTACCATGATACCTATCACTGGCAATATCCTCGAGTGACCGTAGTTGGTCTGGTTCCACAGATTGGATTCTCTTAATCTTAGGGCACCCTTAGCAGCCAGATCCTTCACGAGCCAGTCGATTGATTGCAAGTCCAGAATTGCTTCTAGCGCAGCTTGCGCTGTGTTGTTCCTTGCTCCAGTTGTACCTAGAGCTGCTAATCGCTGTACTTTTGTGAGGCTTTTTCTATTAGTCTCTTTAAGTACGCTTCCCACCATACTAAGTGCTCCATAAGTGATGATTGGTCGAACTATAGCAGTGTACATCCAGTGTATATGTAATAGGTTGCAGACCCCATCTCTTTCCAAATAGTTTTTTACATGCATAGAATGCATTTATTCCCTTTATCATCCTTTCCTCCGTGTTCCTTTTCCAGGAAGCTTCGAGTCCAGAATGATTCCTAAATATTTTGTCTCCTTAGCAAGTACAAGTGTCTTCCCTTCCAGCTTTGGTAGCGTGAACTTGGGTATCTTGTATTTTCTTGTAAACAGAATGAGCTCGGTTTTGTCTGTTGATGCCCAAACCATTCCTTTTTTGCCCATTCCGTTAACTTCTTCAGAGCAGATTCCATGATGTCACTGATCGTCTGCAAGTCTTTGCCAACGATCAATATTACCACGTCGTCTGCATATGCCTTTATCCTAATTCCCTTCATTGTCAGAGAGGTCAGGATCGGGTTCATTACAATCAGCCACAGCAGAGGTGATAATACCCCTCCTTGTGGCGTGCCTCTTTGTTGCACACTTTTTTGGCTGAGCTGTTTCCCATCTCCGATGTGATAGTCCTGTTCTCTAGCATTTCTAACACCCAGTTGATGGTTAATTGCTCTACCTTTGGTTCCTCCATGGCTTTTTGATCGCCTCTGTCTTTACATTATTGAAAGCACCCTCTATGTCTAAGAAAGCCACTAATGTGTATTCCTTATCCCCTGAGGGATTTTCAATTGTACCTACTACCGAAATGCAGAGCACTTTCGACTGACTTACCTTTAAGGTATGCGTGTTGCGCAACTGTTGCTTCTCAATATCTGTAGTCTCCTTAATATGTAGATCTATCAGCCTCTCTAGTGTTTTCAGTAGAAACGATGATAGGCTAATAGGTCTGAAGTCCTTGGGTGAGTGGCTTGGTTTACCCGCCTTAGGTATGAAGACCACTTTTACCTCTCTCCTCTTCTTTGGAATATGCCCCAAATATAGGCATTCCCGGAAGATCCTGGTTAGTAGGGTGTGATGCTCCTTGGAGCTTTTTGCAGCATGATTGGTGTTATTTCGTCCACTCCTGCCGACTTGTATGGGCTAAATGAACGAATTGCCCATGCTACCCTCTCCTCTGTGATGGTCCTGCTGATCTTCTCCCTCTTCTCTGCTTCGTCCCCTGATCCATTGTCGTCTCTCGGCTCTTGCCGATCGATTTCGTTTGGTTCAGGGTCCTTGCAACCAGGGAAGTGGGTCTCCATTAGAAGATTGAGGGTCTCGGCGTTGGATTCAGTCCACGAATCGTCTGGTCTCCTGATGTTGCTTGGTACCATCGGTTCTTTGGACAGTACCTTCCTCAGTCTGGCCGCCTCGTTGGTGTCCCTGATGGACTCACTGAATTCCTTTACCGATACCCATTTAGCCTCTCTTATTTCTTTTTATATTCGTTGAAACACTTTCTATAAACGTCCCAACTTTCTTCCGTTTTCTCCTTTTGTGCTTTATTGTATAGCTTCTTTATTCCTGTCCTAGTCTGCCGTAACTCCGCGTTCCACCACGGTTTGGTGTTTTTACGGGGTCGGCTAACAGGGCATGAATTTTTAAAAGCTCTAATAAGCACTTCTCCTAATTTCTCTAACACTTCCAACGACATGTTTCTGCCTAATAAGTTTTTTATATACCACACTGTCAGCTCTGCGAAATAGAAAAAATGGTTTTTGAAAGAAACGCTTATCAGGAAAATTCCTATTTGGATAACTTTGAGCATAAACCCTTCATGCCACATAAAATATGTGTCCTCATAAAATGTTGGTGTGTTCTCACAAAATAAAATCACTAGTAACATATCCGCCATTCCTTCGGCCAGCAGATACTGCTTCATTTTTCTCGATAAAATAATAAATACTTATTCACTTTATTGTAGGCAAATTAAATAAAAATAATCTGTTATATAAATTTAAATAAAGTCCATAAACTAATGTCGATTTTGAAAATGGCTACTAAGTGTCACTAGAAAATTGCCATGGCGACGCCAGCCATCTTGATTACAATTTTATTGAAAAATAGCTTTTTATTCAAAATCTGAGTAGTATATTTCGGCCCCAGAAACACGCCTATGTGATTTTCTTGCCAAAAAAAAGATTTTTTAAAATTTATATTTTTCTTGACATTTTTCGGGAAATAAAAAAAAAAACTTTTTAGTGACCACTTGTTTATTCGCCTGAGATTTCTCTACGGTGCCGATGTATAATTTCTTGTAGTACTAATATCTCACCGATCTTCCCCTAGGAGATGCAAGACCTTGTCGTTGGTGGGGAAGCTTCTGGTCAGGTGCTGGGAGGGAATCCCCCTAGCACTTGGCTTGGTCTAAGAAGCATCTCACTCATCGTCTTGTCCCTGACTGTAGTGTCGTGGCCAGAAAATTGCACCAAGACATATAACGATACCGGGCGGGGCTACGGACAGCCTCAACCTTGGGGCACCGGGGGGCACCCCATTGTATTTTACCCCTTACTTCTACATGCGTGGCTCTGTAGAAGTGGACCGACTGTCCCTAGCGACTCATAGGAACACTATGAGATCTGGTAATAATAGTAATAAAAACATCACCGGTGAAGCTGTGGGGAAACCCCTAGCGACACTGGGAACAGTAACAATGAAAGTTCCAAGGGGCCAAACCCAAAGAGAACTACAGGAGAGGTGGCTGACACTTGCGTGAGACCATAAAGTAACTAAAATAAAAGAGTGTTTGAAAGGTTGTCTAACTTGGCCATAATGTTGCATAGTTCAGTTAGGGCTCCAAAGCGTCGCCACCTGCTACCTGTCACGCTGTCACGTGTCATGACAAGATTGACAAGTGACATGACAGCAAATTATTTGTATTTTGCAGTTGTTTACAATTATGTTTTGAATTTTGGAATTTTGTTATTATTTTGTGTAGCATATACTTTGTTTGTTTGTTTTGTGTTTGTGCGTACAGAAATGATGGAGGAAGTTTTATTTCCCGAGGAACTTATATTTCTCTATGATTTGAACTTTGTTTTGTGCGATGTGTTTTACGGTCATCATGTAATATTTTGTTCAGTCGATGATGTGATTTGAACACGATCCAGGAAAGGGTATCATGCAAAGCAAGTTCGATATGTAAAGACATTGCCCATCTCTGAACTCGATGAACGTAAAACGAACTGACTATATATTCGCGCCTTGATTTCACAGTGTTGAACATTTGCTACCTCAACTAAACTTCAACTGCTGAGTTTATAAATCCAACTTACAGGTGAATTAATTTTTGATGATGTCTTATTTAAATCTTAATCTGTTATAATAGCATAGATTGCAAACCCTGCGATCTTATATGGTTTGTTAGTGGCGTTGTTAAATAAGTTTTATAATACTATAGGTTAATCGAGGGGTAAACCGCTGGTGTATTTTGGTGTACAAGATGTTGCATTTTTGGCGTTTTCGTAGTATTATTGGTATTAGTACTAAATTATTTGGCATTAGTGTACAGAAATTCATCAGCGGTTTACCCCTCGAGGTTAATTCAGCATATGTATATGTTTTATATTATCAAATATAATTTAGCATTTAACTGTAAGCATTTGAAAAGTGTACAATAGTTTATATTTTTCAAATATTCCGTTTTTAAAAATAAATGTTCATTATATTTTTTGCAGTTTGATTTCGTAATATTTTTAAAAACACAAAAAAAAATTAAATTCACATTTAAACTGCCCGCCTTTTTTGTGGTAGGTAATGCAGATACCTATTTTATCGATTACGTCTGTCATATTTGTATTAGTTCAGTTAGGGCTCAAGGGTGCGCTACAATCGATCCTCGTTAAACGTGTTGCCTACTTTTGACTATGGAAATGACAACTCTTTTATTTTATATTTCTCTATGCGTGAGACCATCCTCCGCAAGTGGCATACAAGCTACCATCTCCTCCAAGGGTCGGGAGCCTACCTCCTACCTCTAAACCCAACAGGCGACACAAGCTACCGTTTCGTCTACCCGGCCTGGGTCGTAGCTCCTCGACTGTGAGGGACACGGGTCTCCGTAGGAAGTCCTAGAACTGTATGATGAGTTATAACTCAAGAAAGGGGGGCACAATAGATCTCTAAGGTCGCAGAGATTAACCCCCCTCCCACTTATTCTAAATTCTAAATTCTAATATCTCACCGATAAAAATCGACAATCGTCGAATAAATAAATGAAAACCGGTTTTGTTTCGTGTTCACTAGAACCCCATGGATTATAAGTCCAATTATATTTTGGACGTCTATGGCCACCCTGACTTAACCGGTGAAAAGGAGACAGAAAGCATGGGCAAGTCTCGCGAGGGTGGTGGTAATGTTAGGTGGTAATTTTAAGTATTAGTTTTAGGGCGGTCATTGTGTAATCACGGAATACTTTTAGGTTTAGGATTTAGGTTAAGGATGATTAACACTATATACAACAGTGGTTCGCTTCGTCATTCTTCTCCTTTAATCAGTCAGATGCGATATGATACATGATACAGTACGGTCAAGAAGTTTTATCGAGAGTGCCTTGTACGATGAAAAAAGTCAATTCTAATGGAACATTCCATTAGAATTTTTTTAAATGTCATAGGCCATGGCATGGCCGCTTTGTCATCAAACTTTTTGAACGTACCTACGCTAAGCTTGATATATTTGAACTTTTAGTCCATGGGAACTAAATTAAAAATAATATTTTATTGCAAGATAGAACCTCACTTTTTTTGCCCATCAAATATTCATTTTCCGTTTTGTTTTTTTTTATCTTTTGTTCGTTTTTGTATCAATTCACAGTTTTTATTAAGAAAAAATAATAACTGTCGTAATTTCTTTATTTTTAATTGTTATTGACATAGTCGCATTTCAAATAAACTGTTTATGCCAAACTTCAATCCATTTTACGTATTCATTTGTTTTCGGTCACTTCCTTTTTCACCGGAAATGATTACAACTCTTCAATTTTAAATGACACCCTCGGATTTTTTTTTACTTCATTTGATAGAAAATGAAAAAATGGCATTTTAAAATTAAATTTAGAGTGCCATCGCTATACATGTAACGACAATTTAACTGGAAATTCCAAGTGTGTGGTATCAAATTATAATTATTGTAAAAATATGCCTTTACCAAATATGCTAATTGAGCCACCCTCCTTCCATTTAAAACAATTTAGTTATGAAAAAAAATTAAAAATATGATTTGGGCATCTTTCAACCGGCCGCGGCCAGGACAAGACTCGAAAAACATTAGACTATCAAATCTATTTTTCCGAGGTTCCTTTTGATTAAAAATTTTGCTAGATTTGAATTTAAAATACGATTTTTTAAGCGAAGATGTTAAAAGTTGACATATGGATCTGCCATTCTATTCAGAGTGTCATTTTCTATCAAATAAAGTAAAAAAATATACCGAGGGTGTCATTTAAAAATCAAAAATTGTAGTTATTTCCGGTGAAACAAGAAGTGACCGAAAACAATTGAATACGTCACAACACTCACAACTATCGAAAACAGGAAATTGCCATCCTATCCGATAGTCAAGCAGTACTAAACGCGATCAACTCAGTAACCATTAATTCGAAGTTGGTCAAAGAATGCATAGAGAAGTTCAACAAATTAGGCAAAGAAAATAAAATCCTCTGGATCTACTCTGGGTGCCTGCTCACTAAGGCATAGAAGGCAATAAAAAAGCAAATAATCTAGCTAGAAAAGGAGCGAACATTCCACTAACTGGACCAGAACCGTTCTGTTTTCAAAACGGGAACCAACTGAAAGCGGAACTGAAGAATCTGGAAGACTCCAGCCGTAACTTGGAATGGGTGTCTTCCAACGGTCTAAGACACTCGAAAAAGTTCCTCAGAACTTACGACCGAGAAAAATCAAAGGTTTTCCTTGATTTAAGTAAATCTCCGGATTGTCACGGGGTTTCTAACAGGACACAATCTCCTCAACGAACACCTCAGTAGGCTGAAGCTGAGAAACAACGGCGAATGCAGATTCTGTGGGGAAAATGGGGAAACACCAGAACACCTTATCACTGAGTGCGCCGAGACGACGACCATTCGTGCCATGAACTTTCGTACAGCTGATGTCGAGGATGGAGAGCTGGCTTCTGTGGAGCCGTCTCAAATACTGGCTTTTGTTAAAGCCCTGAGACTGTCTGATGAGTTATAACTCGTTATAACTCAAGAACGGAGAAAATATATCTGTAAGGTCGCGGTGATTAACTCCCCTCCTAAACATTCTACACTCTACATCAAATCTTTTTTCCAAGGCTCCTTGATTAAAAATTAGTGTTTTAACACAGTCATGACACTCTAGATTGAAATTTAAAATGCGATTTTTTATGCGGGGATGTTAAAAGTTGAGATATGATCTGCCATTCTATTCAGAGTTTCATTTTCTATCGAATAAAGTAAAAAACTACCGAGAGTTGGGTAACGAGAGTGGTAAAAATGTAAGAACTTGACAACGCTGTTTCCGATACGCTTCAGTCCGTCCGCAAAAAAAATGTATGGAAGGAAAGGATATGGAACGGAAGGAAAACGGAACGGATAGTGTGCATTGTCCTATTCATTTACATGATATAATACTCTATGTAAATGGAAGGGAAATGGAAGGTAGCTGATACGGAAGGTATAGTGAGAATCAACCTATAGCCTAGCTTCCTCTGTAGTGCTAATATCTCACCGATAAAAAACGACAATGGTCGTATAAATAAAAACAAAACCGGTTTTGCTTCATGTTCATCTGAACCCCATGGATTATAAGTCCAATTATATTTTGGACGTCTATGGCCGACTCTGACTTAAACCCGAAAAGGAGATGGAAATGGCAAGCCCCATCAGTAGGTTTAAGTTTAGTTTTTAAGTATTGGGGTGAAGGGATTTAGATTTTAAGTGTTTAGATTTTAAGTTCTAGTTTTAAGGCCTTTAGATTTTAAGTTAGAATTTAAGTTAGATTTTAAGGTCGAGATATAAAGAGTACTGGCAGTTTTTAACCGGGATTAAATATCAAGGTTTGAGTTGAAATATAACAACGGGTGATGGACACTCTCTCTTTATAATGGTCCCGACGATCCATTGGTTTGCTCCTTCCATATATGCCTTTACACAGTCAGAAGCTATAGATTTACAATACGGTCTAAAAGTTTTATAATCAAACGTGCCTTGTACGACGACAGAAAATAATTCTTACGGGAAATTCCATAAGAATTATTTAACTGTCAATGTCAAACGGCTCATGGTTATAAAACTTTTTGACGGTAGGATAGTCTTGATATATTTGGGCTTACAGTCCATGGGAAACTAAATTATAAATATACAGGGTGGTCCGAACTGTATTCCGGAAACTTCGGCAAAAAATTCTGGTAGATAAAAAATTCGTATAAATGTATGTCCTAAGATGCTTAGTTTCGGAGATACAGGGTGTAGAAGTTTCATTTTTATTTCGATTTTTTCCAAATAATTTCTGAAGTAACGTCCATATTTGGATGAAAATTGGTATCCGGGAGTTTTTTGACATGAGAAATTTGATTTTCATGTCAATACGACTCCTATTTGTAGCGGGCGCCATCTGCATGTGTTTTAACTGTTTTGAAGTGTAATAACTTTTCGTCCGTACCTGTATAAAACTACTGAGTGAAAAAATATACATTTCCGTGACTTTTTACGTAAAAAAATGTCTCTCTTGGTAAAAATCTCTACGAGCAACCGTTCTCAAGATATTTCGAATGAAAATAGTCAGTACATGTCATTACTGACAAAAAATAAATACTTGAGTAAATAGTTATTTGACTGAAACAATAAATTTGGGAAACTTTTATTATTTAAAATTAGTCAAAAATTTTTCTGCGAAAAAATGATGATAAAACAGTTTCTGTTGAACTTTTGGCACCAAAACATTTCAAATTTATGATTTCAGTCTAAAAACTATTTAGTCAACATGTTTAATTTATGTCAATGATGACAGGTATTGATAAATTCAATTCCAAATATCTCAAGAACCATTACTCGTGGCAATTTTTACCAAGAGACCTTTTTTACGTAAAAAAAGTCGTAAATGTATATTTTTTTACTCGGTAGTTTTATACAGATACGGAAGAAAAGTTATTACTCTTTAAAACAGTTAAAACACACGTAGGTGGCGCCCCCTACAAATAGGAGTCATATTAATATCAAAATCAAATTCCTCATATCAAAAACCTCGTCACACACCAATTTTTATCCAAACATTGACGTTACTTTATAAATTATTTGGAAAATATACAAATAAAAATGAATCTTCTACACCCTGTATCTCCGAAACTAAGCATTTTAGGACATATATTTATATGAACTTTTTTACTTATTTTTATCTGCAGAATATGCTGCCGAAGTTTCCGGAATTATACAGGGTGAGTCTTAGAGTTAAAAATAAAAATGTAAATATTTTCAGGGCTGGTAGATCTCGATAAAAGAAACATATTTTCTCTTTACCATTTTTCAGATATGGAAAAAATGTCAAAATAATCTAGTTATTTAAGTTTGAAAATTTAAAAAAAAATTGATTTTTTTTGAAAAAAATTTGAGAGCCACCTGATTTCTTCTGTATTTGCATCCCTTTTATTGCCGTAACCATAGAGAAAAGTACCGTAACTATGGTAATATCAGAGATTATTGCGGTGAACAGGCAGTTAAAAGGAAAAAAAAGTTTGCGAAAAATATACAGGGAAGTTTAAAAGAAAATGCACGATTTTTGACCAAAAAATTGGCGTACTATATGCAAAATCCAAATCTGTACAGAAAAATGGGTGATACAATTTAAAAAAAAACTTAAAACTTTATCATAATTTTTTTTTGGGATACCCTGTATACAACAAAATATTTTTAGGATTGTGCTTCTTTATATAATAATAAATATAATAAATAATAAATATGCCCAGATGACCAAACGCAATAAAAGTTCATTATCATCAAGTCAACTTGTGAGGGTGGATACCACGTTGTCTTCTAGCAAGCCGATAGAATGTGGAGTACCTCAAGGCTAAGTACTAGGCCCTATTTTGTTTCTTCTTTTTATTAACGACATTGCTAATATAAATATCAGTGGTAGTAAAATATGTGTTTTTGCGGACGACACTAGCTTCACTTGAAGCAACAAGGACGTCCCGGCACTTCGTAGGATTATATCAAATGACTTAATCACCATTAAATCTTGATGCGATTCGAACCTCCTGAGTTTAAACATTTCTAAAACTAAAGCTTTGTCGTATAAAAACTCGCTGCAGTCTTTTGTTCCTAACAACACCACCATTGACGTCGTAAAATCTGTAAAATTTTTAGGGCTTGTTGTAGACAATTCTCTGAAATGGGACATACATATCGACCCCGACACTTTGTCGAATAAGTTAATCTCTGCCTGTTTTGCATTAAGATCTGTTTCTAAGGAGCTTAACTTGTCAGTGGCTAGTACTGTTATGCCCTTATGAACAGATATGCCCTTCCATTCTGGGGTATACGTGTTGTGCGACTCAATTTGACCGCATTTTTAAGCTCCAGAAGAGAGCTGTTCGATATTCATTGGGACTAAACAGCAGAAATTATTGCCAGGACTTCAAGTTCAATATTATACAACTCGAAAAAAATGCACAAAATCACCTGCCATTTGAAATCAAATCTAAAACATAATTTTCTT